ATTAACCAAGATCTGATCCAACTTCTCCTCCACCCAATACCGAGTTCCTTTTCCCCGATCCCACGTCCATTTATATCCCTCAAATGGGAGGTCCCTTAATCCGCTATTAGACACAGCCTCCCGGAAATCTCTCAACCTCCAAGGAGGTTGGGGAATATGGCTCTTTTTCTCCGATTCATAAAAGATATCATTAAAATCACCTATAATCATCCAAGGCATTGTGTTGTTTTCCGCTATACCCTGAAGCATCTCCCACGCTTCCCTCCTCCGCCGCGTCTTCGGAAAAGCATAATAACATGTCATCCTCCACCCTGGCGCATCCTCCGCCTGCTTGACAATGTAATCCACATAATTCCGGTGTAAAGCCAGAATCGTCATTTTGAGCTCCTCGTTCCAACCCGGGCCAGTCCGCCACCACTTCCGTTACTATCCACACACTCGCAATTCTGGAATCCCTGGCAACGCAGTAGGTCCCCTGCTCGCTGGCCATCGATCTTGGTCTCCATCAGAAAAAGTTCGAAGAGCTGGACGATGCCCTTGTACGAGATCTCCCATCCCTTGTATGGTCGCTGCATTCCCCAAACCTCTACAATTCCAGCTAATAATACTCATGCTCCAAGAGAAGGATACCACAAGCCAGACGTCGTGCCCAGACAGACACCGCCGGAAAACTTGCCTAGGAAACCCTAGGAGACGACCGCCTTTCACGCATGTTTTGTTGTTACTCTCTAATGACCAATATATGTTTCATGTAGAAATGAGAAACCAAATTGGTCATGCATATATAGAAGATTATATTATAATTCATTCCTCATCTTCTTGAGAAGGGCATAAGGGAGGAGCTGAAGGGGCATGAAAAGGAGAAAAATCAACCAAATCATTAATTCTAAAGAGATAAGAGAGATAGAGAACTCCTCTCTTATAATATTATAATTTAGAAAATGGTTTCTAGGGAAAATTGAGAAAATGGTTTTCTTCCAATTCTTTTCCGTCAAAATTTTTTTAATCATTAAATGTGTTGCATAGTTTTGTACAATTGTATTACATAAGTACAATATGTAATAAGATTAATATTTTTTAGCAACACTTTGAAAATAAATGTTGCATAATAATTAATACTTGTAACGATTTCTAATAAGTGTTGCATAACTTGTATAATTTAGATGTTTTCCAACACTCATTATTCTCAGACTGGCAAATTAGTACGGAGAACTACGTTTTTTTGACATGTCAACTAACTGTGGTTAAAGACTATGACATCAAATTATACCGTACAATCAGATATTTTATGCTAAAAGAAATGAACATTACATTTAAAAGAAATGATTATTAGTATTGAACTATAAAATTAGCAAATTGAATATTTTGATAATAATATAATGATAATGTTGTTAAATGAATAAATTAATTTGTAGTGTGTGTGTGTGTGTGTGTGTGTGTGTGTGTGTGTGTGTGTATATATATATATATATATATAGGGAGCGGTTCCGGTAAGAATGGACTCCCACGAGATAAATGAGAACGAATCTGGACCATTGGATTGTTTTATGTCGACTGGATTGTGCACTTGGTGAAATTGAAATGTGCATCAGATGATATTGAAATGTGCAGAATAAAAATTTAAACTCAAGTGTGCATTAGGTGAAACTGAAATATGTGAAATAAAAGGTACAAAAATAACATCACATTGTACCTTTTATTTCAACACATTTCAGTTTCACATAGTGCACATTTCCATTTCACCTAATGCACAATTCAGCTTCACATAATGCCACTGTATCGTACCATTTGTGTTGCACATTTCAATTTCACCTAATGCACATTACAGTTTCATCTAATGCACATTGAATTTCACTAAAAACAAATCTAACGGTCCAGGTTCATTCTCATTTCTCTCCTAAGATCATGTTCTTATTTGAATTAAAACTTATATATATGAAATAGCGGTTCTGGTAAGAACGGACTCCCAGGAGAGAAATGAGAACGAATCTGGACCGTTTGATTGTTTTATGTCGATCTGGATTGTAAGACCGTTGAAATGTGCACTTGTCGATCAGCCCCGCCCCACACCACCAGACTTGCCCCGAGCCCACAGCCACCAGCCCCTACACAATTGGTGCCCAACACCAAACCTCGTGGCCCTTCAACCAGCGCAGCCCACCATTTCATTCACTCAACCCCCAATCCCTGCCGCCAAGTCATCGCACTAGTCCGCCGCCTCAGAAACCCAAGCCACCGACCTTGTAGCTAAACCCTAGTCGCAGGACAGTCGATGATGGTCACAGATCTGAAGGTCGTCGCCAAACAGAGATTTGTTCATCTCCACCGATCTCGTCCATATTAAGGTGAAGAAGAAGAGTGCAGACCTCGATGAAGACAACGACGACGTCAGGGATTTACAACGACGAAGATAGCGGCGAGCCTGCTAGCGACGAAGGCAGCATTGGCGGCGAGGAGGTTGGCGGCGAAGAAAGCAGCGTTGGCGGCGAGGAGGCTGGGTACGACGAGATTGGAGCCGATGATCATCTCCTTCACTGCCATCGTTGATTTCTGGGATTGACATGGTAGAAGAGAGAAGTTATATTATGTCCGCAGGAAGGAGACGAAAAGACAAGCGGCACAAGGGTTGCGCATGTGTTTGAGCGCAAATGAGCGGAAGAAAAAGACATGAGCTTGAGCGTCGATCTGCTGCAGAAGAAGAGATTTAATTGTACGGTCACCTTTTTTGTCAACCCCAATTTTAGTCATATTTTTGTCTATCATAACTCCACAAGTAATATTCATGTCATTGTTTCATGAATAATGTATCTAAGTGTTTTAAATACCAATTAAAGAAAAAATCGTGGGAGTGATATACTAAAATACGAAGTACTCGATATAATATTTGTTGAAGACAGTACACGCCTTCAATCTAATACTTGGTATGCAGCACGGAAGTACTCCCCAAGAATTATTTAGCACTTTTTCTGAAGATGAGCTTCTGACTTAAAAAGTACAGATAATAGTGTCTTTTAATAGCTTAATAGTAGAATAATAGATTTCAGCTGAAAAAGTAGCTATACACTTACTTTTTGGGCTGATCATAAAAACAGCCACATCAGCCCATTGAGTGGGTGTTTGGTTATTTTAATAGATTTTCAAGCTTATAAGCCAATTCTTAGTCCTCCAAACGGGCACTTAATATTTCATACTACCTTTGTCTCAATTTACTTAATCATCTTTGACTTTTTCAGTCAAATGTGGTAAACTTTGACCAATTATTTAAACTAATATATTTATGCAAAATTTAATAATTTTATACTTTTATGATAGTATTTTTAACAAAGAACATTTTCATATCATTTTCATATTATTAATAATTTCTCTATATAAACATATAATCGATCAAAGTTAGATGTCATTGACTTGAAAAGTCAAGTTTGACTAAGTAAAATGGGATGGAGAGAGTATGGTCTCTTCTGCTTTTAATGATTACTTGTGCGTGGTATTAGAAATGTACTCCTATAAATGATGAAATCTACGAGTATTATTACTATTTACAATCTTGCACATTCAAATTTAGATTTGACCACAATCAAATGTAGTTTGTATTGTCTCTAAAAACTATAGGCAGGTTGCTTCTCCCACCATATTAACTTCCTACTTTCATTATAAGTCTCTCCCTTTTTTGAAGAAAAAAAACTCATCTGGTTGGATTTGGACCCAATAACTCCCTCATAAGTGATCAAACTATACTCTTCATTTTGTTAAATTTGTTCAAATTAACTTGTATATGAATTGATAAAGTAAAAATGGTGTGTTTGAGATTTGTGCAGACAAGAGAAATAAAGTAAATCCAATCACATATTTATTACTTTAATTAAGTGTATATTACAAACTTTTATGTATAATAATAAATTTAGGTTTTTTCCAAAGATATTATTAAAATAAAACTTATTTACACAAATATAACTAATAGTTACTACTCTCTCCGTCCCCCTAACTTTGTCCAGTTTTACTTTTTTAGTCCGTCCCATTAAGTTTGCCCAATACCATACTACCTCCGTTCCTTAAAGCTTTGCCAACTTTTCCTTTTTAGATGTCCCAATAACTTTGACACTTTCCATTTTAAGTAAAGAATTTGTGGATATAATGAATTCTCTCTCCTCTGTACAAACCTCTATCACACACTTTTTACTTTATTAATCCCCGTGCCGGTCAAACTTGTCAAAGTTTTAAGGGACGGAAGAAGTATTTGATAATATTTGGATGGTTACAAATCATTCTTACTTTAGTCACACTTTATCAATTTAATACGAATCACATATTTCTACTTTTTCTTAAAAATTCCACCACACCCCTTTGTCCCAAACATAAGCGTCCCAAACATAAGGGGACAAAGGTAGTACAATGTAATGTCATGGTAACTTAAGTTTGAAAATTGAACAAAATATAATGATTTCATTACCACTTTAGTCACTAATCACAATTTTATACACAATCTTTATTCTAGTCATAAATATGTAATTCATTTTCATTTACCCCAGTGCCGCAAAGGCTCCCACCTACGATGGGGTAAGGGGGGGTCGGATGTACGCAGTCTTACCCCTGTACTAAAGCACAGAGAGACTGTTTCTGGATGACCCATAGTGAAAATCATGTCCAAAATTGCATGGACTGACTGTTGCTTCATAACAAAGAAGCGCAGACAGTTTAGTGAGTCATTTTGCTTTATTCCATCATAATCTCAAGCCAAAAAAATAATGAATCTTTGGCTCCATTGCAAATGATGGAAAAAGTCATAAATATGTAATTACATAAATTTATTTCATGGTAAAGTAAATTTGACTATGATGAAATAAAACAAAATGACTCACTAAACTGTACACTTCTTTTTATGAAAAATCAGTCAGCAATTTTCGACACGACTTTTACTAGGGTCATCCGCAAACAGTCTCTCTATACTTTAGTACAGAGGCAAGACTGCGTACATCTGACCCCCCACCGTAGGTGGGAGCCTTTGCAGCAGTGGGGTAATGAGGACGATGATGATGATGTCAAGTAAATTTGACATGAAAATGTGAATTTGATGGTCTTGTATTCTTACTCGTTTTAAGAGCTGAAAAGTGCTATATCATAAAGGAAAATGTTACACATAAAATTAAAGAAAATATCACAAAATAATAAACAATTTATCCTAGCAGCAAGGAACGTGAGTCTTGTATAGTACAATTGAAGGTGGTAATAAAATTTCCAGCTTCTTCATCATTTCCTCCAGCTTGTGCAGTTTCTCTTCTTCACCCGACTCCAACAAAATCCTCTTCAACATCTGGAACACCAATCCACTTATATGTCTACCTCTGTCCATCATTTGCTTAGAACACTCCAAAGCCTCTTCAACTCTTCCATGGGAACATAATGCAGTAACCAGAAGGTCCAGCGCATGACTATGTGGACACTGCCCTTTCACTAACAAGTAGTTCCAAAAACTTAGTCCCAAATCAATATTCTGATTCTCGCAGAAAAACTTTATCAACATAACAACGCTCCGCGTCTTAGGCAAGAACCCCTGTTCAGTCATCTTGTTATACAGTCCATATACGCCGTGAACATCTTTTAACCTTATCAATCCCCAGAACATAGTGTGATAGGTTAAATGGTCATGACAGATCTTCTTCTCGTCCATTTCCTCCATTAACTCAATTGCAGCTTCGATATCCCGAGACCTGAGAAGTGAACTCAAGAGAGCGTTATAAGCACAAACATCTATTGTTAAGTTTCTCTTGGGAATTTCATGAAACAGTTCTCTTGCTTTGCTTATGTTCCGAGCAATCCCTGCCCCATATATCAAAGTTGTCATTGTTTGTAATGTTGGCAAGCAGTTATTAACACTTTCCATCTCTTTCAGCAGTCTCAGGGCATCACCCAGACGACCTTTCTTGCAGTAAGCATCAATTCTGATGTTGTAAGTCACATAGTTAGGCTTGAAGCCTCTTCGGATCATCTCATGGTAAAACAGCTCCACTGATGTTACATTTCCTGCCTCCTTGAACCCTAAAAGCAGAATGTTCATTGTTTTAGTGTTTGGAGCAAACCGGGAATGAAGCTTATTGAATACAGATCTAGCTTCTTTCATTTGCCTTTGAGTGCAGAATGCGTGGAGGAGTGCATTGAACTCTTCTGTGCCGAACTTTTTCCCGACGAAAATATCTCTCTCCAACCTCTCAAAAGCTTCAAGAGTGCCTTCATAGGATTGTGATTTTGCTATTCTTGACAACATAATATTCATAGACTTAAGGGTAAGGAGTGATGGATGTGTCTCCTTGATTTCTGTCATTAGTTCCCATGCTTTATCAAAGTAGCGCATTCTGGTCAGTATATGAATTGTCTTCTCAAACGCATCTGGAGTTGAGCTTTTTTCAGAATGAAAAAGACAAAATTTGAAAAATTCACAAGCTTTAAGCCCATTGGCGTGTGCTGCAAATAAGCGGCCAAGGACATTATTCACAAAGGATGGAGACAATGATGTGGGATTGATATATCTTTCAAGAGTGGGCTGCAATGGCTGATCGGGAAAACAATGTTCATTAATTACTTTGACAATGTGCTCAATTTCACCTGTTCCTGAACAAGAAGCATGAAGCCACCTGCTTGATCTGATAAGCCCAGAATTTAGCCTTCCAATAACCTGGAGTGCTTCACGGAACTCGTGCATTCTTACAAGTAGCATTTGTTTTGATTGTTAAACGAAATGAAACTTTCGATCTTCGCTTCATAGCCGGAACCTTGTCACTTTATCAAAGAAGTATTCAGTCCGTCGATTCTAAAGACGACTATTTACCCTAATTTCCCAAAATCAAGATATGGGACAAGACGTCAGAGGCTGCAGCCGGACTACCATAGGTGAAGCCTCTACGCCGCCGTCTAAGCCTCTCATTCAGTCATTCGTCCTCCGCGTTCTGCTACAGGCTCTAGGTTTACACAACGCTTAAAACGGCTCACAATCCACGCAGGGTTTTCAATTGTGCTAAATTATGGTGAAGAAAGAAAACATTACCTTCATATAGAAGAGCGTTCACTACTGGCCTGCTTCACTTCGTACTTCGTACTTTGCAATTTTGGTTTCAAAAGTTTTGGTTTCTAACTTTGGGCCTCAATAAGTTGTGTAGTTTGATTGAAGTATTTGGATTGGGCTTGGGTAATATCCATATGGGAAATTGAGATACACATCTACTTCAATTAATTTTAATAAATAAAAATGAAATTTCATCAATCTGGATCTTGAAAGATAGAAAAATTATCAATTCGAGATCTGAAAGATGAATTATACCAGTACGTATAGGACTTGAAAGATGAAAAACTATCAATCTAGAACCTGACGTTTCATAGGTTTTCATTTATTTAATTTTTTATTAATTCCATTGCTAATATTTGGTGAAATTTTCTTACAAAAATTTATTAGTTTAATAAAACTAAATACTCCCTTTGTCCCCCAATTAAGTTTCCGGTTTGACTTCACACGCATTAAGAAAATAAATTTGACTTTACTATGAAGTGCACTGTTGATGGAGTATATGGCCCGGGAACCCCCGGCCCACAGACTCCTACTACTCCAGCGAAGGCCCAACAGGCCCAGAAGGCCCAGCAGGCCCAAATCACAGCGCCCAGAGTACCAAGCAGCCCGCACTACGCGCCAGGGGTGCCTTCGGCCCCCTGGCCGAAGGCTCTAAATTCTCACAGAACGGGTTTCTCAAGCAAATTAAGAAACTGGGAGAAAACGGTGAAAACAGTAGCCCTCGGCACTGTGAGCCCTCGGCACCAGGGTGCCATCGGTTGGAGGAGCCCTCGGCTACTGCTCTATGGCCGAAGGCATCTCACTCGACAAGATATCCGCCTCACATGCGTACAGATCGTCGTACCCTGCACAGACGTCCCATCCAACAGCCGCATTAAATGCGGCCACATGCGGCTGCCAGCGCCAACCAGTTGAGGTGACCCCTCGGCCAATGAGCGCTTGACACGTGTCCCTGTCCGGCATTTATTGCTACTATAAATAGCACCCCATTTCCTCATTTGTAACCACGCTGAAAACGGCATTCATACTGAATACACTCTCTCTCTACTTTTACTTACTTGCTCTGACTTCTCTCTAAGTTATTCCCCGTAATAACCCTTCGGATATATAACCCCGGGTAGACTATCTATCAACTGTTTTGCACTGTTCAAACACTGTTTGACACTGTTTTGATGTAGATAATTTGACAAATAAGGAAAGTAAGGAAGTGTGAACTTAATTTAGGGATTGCCCAAAAAGGAAAATGGTAACTTAATTGGGGGGACGGAAGGAGTATTATTTAAATTTTTTTAAAATAAAAATAATAATAAAATTTATGAAAACTTAGGTCCTAAATTGACAGTTTTCAATCCTTCGGGTCCTAAATTGATAGTTTTACAAGTCTTACAACGATACATTTCATCTTTTAGATCCCGAATTGATAGTTCGTCTATCTTTCAAGTCCCGAATTGATATGGCCTGTTTGGATGGAGTGTTTGGAAATGTTAGTAATGGAAGTGTTAGTAAGGGCCCAGAAGGGAAGAGAAGTGTAAGTGTTAGACATAATTTTACTTTTTTGGGAGAGTCAAATGAATGAAGTGTTAATAATGGAGTGAGGAGAAGAGATGAAAAAGGCAGACCATCAGACCTGCGCCAAAGAGATTCGAAGTGAGATGTTGAAGTATTTTATGTTTTTAAGATAAATGAGAAGGGTAATAATTGTACAACACCTCAAAACGGGGTGTTAAAAAAGTGAACAATTGAGGTGTTGAGAAGGTTATTATTAACTATTCCTAACCTTTACTTACACTTCTTAACACCTGTAATTTTTCTCCCAAACAATTGTTAGTATCAACACTTACTAATACTTACATTACTAACTCTTCCTAACACTCAATCCAAACACGCCTCGGAGTCTTCCATAAGATCCCTGCTTCTTGCTGGCTGGAGGAATGAGCAGTTGTTACTCGAAGCACCTGGACTGCACATTTGCTAATTTGCAGAAGGCAATTCGGCGCTCAAACCCTTTCAACGCAAGCAGGATTATCTTTTCACGTTGGTCACCATCTCCATGGATCCTAGGTTGACGTTGGATATTCATGTTGGCCATTTCAATTTGGTGGTCGACCTACTTCCGATGAGCCGCAGGTCTGCAATAGCTCCCAACTTGGTGGGATCCTTCCCCAGGTGTGTGGTCGTCAGTTCGTCACTCACAAGTCGGCAAGGGCCTCTCCATTGAGCTTGACTGAGACGAACGAGTAGGCACATGCCCTCCATCTTCGGTTTCTTCGGAGAGGAAGACTGTAATTTTGTATGTGGATGGCTAGAAGGGGCGAGTTCAGTTCTTGCAGTTCCGTTTTGACCTAAAACCAAATATTGAATCAAAGTAAAAGGTTCGGTTTCGGTTCGGTTCTACACTCCTAAATTTGGAACCACGGTTTAATTGGTTTGGTTTGTTTCGATTCGGTTCAGTTTTTTCAGTTTTTTACCAAAAAATTATCATTTGATTTAAAATTGATATAATACTTTGAGGGATCAAACATATATTACATAAAGAATGCAAGCACACTACAACAAATAAAATAAAAATGAAAATAAATAAATATGTCATGAATTATATGAGTATGCGAGAGAGATAAAAGTATATATTATTAATTTACATTGTTTGTGAGTAGTTCAAAAAAAGTTCATGAGTATATACGTTATATGTGATATAGTTGAGATAAATATTTATTGTTTCATCAATACGAATTCTTTAAGTTAAATAAAAATAAAAGTTAATTAATACTAATAACAAGTAAAAACATATTATCAATATAGCTACATTATTACGTGCAATGAATGTGTAAATGAATTCACAAACTAAACTAAACATAACAATCATTATTTCTCTAGCACAAGAAAACCAAAAACTATTAATGATATTAGGATTAGTTAGGATTAATGCTTAACAATGGACAAATAAATTTTACTGCGTATATTTTAACTAGTTCGGTTTGTTCGGTTCGATTCGGTTTTGAAGGGTATAAACCAAAACCGAACCAAACAACTACGGTTCGGTTCGGTTTTTACATTCGGTTTCGGTTTGTTAGCGGTTCAGTTTTATTTGGCTACGGTTCGGTATGATTTGATTCAGTTTTCGATTTTTCGGACCCAACCCTAGCTAGAAGAGTAAAATAGAGATTTAAAAAATAAATATTTGTTGAATTTTTATTTTGTGACTGTAACTAGTAATTATGTGGTTGTGAGTAGACTTTCCATGTCCATATACTTGAGTTTTTTTTCGGATTAATGCTTAATTAATTAAATAATTACGGAATTAATGTTGGATTAAAACTATTTACCAATATACTGCTGGACTTAACTTTGATCGGGGAAAGTAGATCAATCTTCTTTTCATTCTGGCATTCTAGATTCTATTAAAACCGTTTGGCGACATATAAGTCATCAAACCGGATGGCGACTTATAAGTCGTCAAACCGTTTGGCGACTTTCGATCCCCTTCGCAAATAGCACCGGTCTGGGCCCAACTAGGGCCGGTTGGGGGTGCCCCGGTGGCAAAAAATTACGTTTTTCAGCCTAAATCGATCCCGATTATCGCAATTCACCGTTTGACGACTTATTATTTGTGCTAATAATCAAAATAATTAAGATTGAAGTTACTTTCTAATTGGATTGACAAAAGTTACTAAAATTGATCATACACAAACCCAGTTCAAACCTAGCATTTCAATTTTCAAAAACCTCACTCAGAGCCGTATATATTCGGTCCCTAATTTTAATAATCCAAAACTTTAAGATTACTTTTTTAGTTTTAGCTAAAATTGGACCCAAATAAGAGAGATTGCATCTCGAGTTTTTTCGAATTAATGTTAATTAATTAATTAATTACGAAAATAGGGTTGGGTTAAAAGTATTTACCAATGTAATGCTGGGTTAACCATGGTCGGGGTAAGTCGCCCAACGGTTGGGCGACTTTCCCTTAAGTAAAAATATCGGTCAGTCAGAACAGAACACTGCGTAAGTTAAACCTAATACCCAAATCCCCCAAGCCGCAGCGACGAAGGACGAAGGACGAACGATGACCGAGCGATTTGGAACTCCTGCGAACCTCCATCTCCAGCGACCCCACTCCGGCAAACCTCCATCTTCATCTTCAACACTCTTTCTTCTTTCTTGTAGGTAAATCAAACTCCATTTCATCTCATTTTGAATTTAGGGTTTTGAATGTTAAAATTTTCGAATTTTTAGATTATGAATTGATTGTGAATTGAGTTGTTGTGAAATGTGGGATATGTATGAAATGTTGAAATTTGATTTTAAATTGATTGTAAATTTTAAAGTGTATTTTGACATTTGGGCATTTGGGTGGATTTGAATGTAGCTAAATTTGGGTATTGAAATGTATACTTGAATGTAGATATCAAAATTTGGGTATTTTCATATTGAAATGTGAGTTGTTTGTGAATTTTGACTTTTGGATATATTTGAATTATTATTAGAATATGGATTTCTCAAGTTTCTCAATCGTGTGTCATTGGGGAGGGAACTATTATGAGGATGCTGGGCAAATATGCCATGAAGGTGGTACAACCACATTTGTCATGGTTTCTCGTGGTGCTTGCATGCTCGAGATCCTTCAAAAAATACATGCAGTCACAATGATTCATCCTAGCCGTTCTTTGCGTTTGAAAATGAAATTTCCCATGAACGGGGGAAAGTACATGCTTATGCCCCTCATTGATGAGCTAGCTATAACAAATATGTGGGCATAGTTCAGATGGAGGACATGTCGATGCTGGAGATATACATTGAAGAATCCATATGTGACGCTTATGGTACTCCATCAACATCAAATGTTGTTGTATCTAGGCATTATGTCAATGCAGGTGTGAATGCAGGGAACTCCTCAAATGCTCCTATACTGGACATGGTTATACATGAAGATGGTAGGTATTTGCACAACGGTGCATCATTTGTGGATGGGCAGGGAAATGATGATGATGCTGACCACAACATCAATGGTGAAGACATGACAGAATCTGATGAAGGTGGTG